GTAAGACCCTCACTCTGGCTGGTTGCTGGGACTTGGCTTTGCATTTCCCCATGCCCCCTCACCTCTAGGGGGTGCTCTGTCCTCAGCTGTGGACGGTATACATTGCATGATTTTTCAAGTTTTCTGGGTAGTTGCTGTCCTGGGGAGGGTTGATTTGTTTGCACAGCTCCCTTCTATACCTTTAGTCACAACACCTGCTGTAGTGAACTCATAGGGAAGGGTTTGTGGATGGTTGCGTGGCAGGGAACCTAATGGATTCCACTTGAGTAGTGACCAAAAGCATGTTCTTTATTGCTGTCAACCAAATTCACGATCAACAATGACAGATGGAAACACACACGTGCGATTGGAGACAGCGAGAGCTTTATATGTATCGTGCATGCGGGAGTCAACTTAGCCTTTTATAGATACAGAATAAATTTGCTTAATTAGACTTGCTTTCTGATGTAGGTATGGACCAAAAAAGGAGTGCAAAAATGAAATTGCCCAGAGAAGCACCCCAACTTCTCTTTCAGGTAATTGTCAGCAACACAGCAGTAAATAGCAACACAAAACAGATTATTATTATAGATCACGCAGGCAGAACAAAGGGTAAAATATTTCACTGAAGCAGTGTTTGACTATACAGTGGGGCCTTGACTTACGAGTTTAATTCGTTCCGAGACCGAGCTTGTTAACTCAAATTACTCTGTCAACTCAAAGCAAAAAATCGGCGGAGAGACAGCTGGTATCTCAAAAAACTCGTTAGTCAGGACACTCGTAAGTCAAGGCCCCACTGTCTTCTGTGAAGTGAGAATCTCATGCACAGAACCTCTAGTCTATATATAAAAGGCTAATATGCTAAGTGTCTGATCATCTGGGTAATGACATCACGTAGCAACGCCGCGCTTCCTCTCCCTAGCGACTAGCCTCCTTGCAGTTTCTTCCGTCCAGGAACACGACTTGCTTCATAGCCGGGTGAAAACATTTCACACTTTAACCAAATGTCTGTGAAGCGTTTTCTCTTGCCTCATCTCATTTGATCCTCACAGAAGTCCTGGAGCAGGTAGATAGGAGGCTTGGTGGAATCCGATTTTATTCTCATTAGCTGGAAAACAGAGATTTAGAAAACTTAGAAACTTGACCTGACTGAAAAGAAGTAAGAAATGGTGGACCTTGAAAATGACTTCAGGTTTTCCTCACTGCGCATATAAATTGAAAAGACTTCTACCACATTGGGCCCCAGAATTTGAAAAGCAAGAGTTCCTCTGGGCCCGCTACTGCTAGTGGTAATGAATAGGACTCCAAATGAATTTGGCTTATTGATTAAGGCGTCTTCTGATTTACAATATAACAAAGGGAAGAGCGACCTCTAGAATTGGACAAAAATTAAAATGATAGACACATGATTCTTTTCCATAGGTGGGTATGAAACTGGACAACCAATGGGTCCGGTCAGCCTGTCACTACTTGAGCCAATTAAGCATAGACTGGGTTGAATCCTATATGAATATTTATTCCAGTAGTGCCGGCAATATGGGAGGGCAGCAGGTCATCCACATACACCAGCTGCTTACATGGGGTAGGACAAAGATCACATAAGGATGCCTGGCAGTCGTGACTCAGGATTCATTTCCCTGGCAGACACATGTGAGGGAATCACTAGTGTGCAGTGTGCAGGGGGCAGCCAATCAATGATTCTCTCTCATCATTGATGTTTCTGTCTCTCCTACCTTCCTCTCTGAAATCAATGGATCACTTTCTAAGGTTGACTCCCAGGTCCCGGGAATGTAAAACTCTCAACCAGGTTAGAATGTCCTTTCTTTAACCAGAAAGAGGCAAACACGATTAACAGAGGGTGATTAATATTTCCTATAACCATAGCTAGTCCCCAATATTATGTTTTTGCCCCTAGCAGGTACAGGATAGTTAACAGACAGCAATTAACATGATGACAATAACAATGAGGGGGAAACTGTTGCAGTGCTTGTGCTTTGAGGGGGTGGGGGTTTGGGGGGGAATTGTTTGTTATTCCAAAAACATGTTACCAATTATGTTATTCAAGGTGTAAATAGACTAGAGATAGGCTAAGTTAAGGTGAAGATTGATGTTTTGTTAGGGAAAAATACTACTCAAGGATGTGATGACTCACTATGAATTGCTTTTAGTTAGAAAGTTTTAATTTCAGACGCTCCTGTGTGGTTACCTTAGGTTTCTGAGTTGGTAAGGCTGCCACTCAGGCCCCCACGGAGCCTGTCAGGTATAATATGTGGCCCTTTTTGTTCACAAACTCTCCCACTTTTTCCAAAATTTATTTATTTTGATGTTAAAGTTATAATGAAACAAGAGAGTTCCATCTTTTCTATTTCAAAGGCTGGGCCTACAGTCTTGGGTTATATTTGTCAAATACATATACTATGGTATAAGTAGGTCATCTATGTGATAAAATTTTTCAGACTCTTTAATGCAGGCATATCTCTTTAATTATAACTGCTATATTTGGATCACAGATAATGTGTAAGTGCTTTTAAATATGGTTTTTAAAAAATTGATATCAGAGAAAGGAAGGGAGAAGGGAGAGGGAGAGACAGAGAAACATCAATGATGAGAGAGAATCATTGCTCCCCTGACTCCTGCCAGCCCCCTACTGGGGATCAAGCCCGCAATGGGCATGTACCCTGACAGGTAATTGAACTATGACCTCCTAATTCACTGGTCAACACTAAACCATTCAGTGACAATGGCCAGGACAGATAATCTCTTTTCATCAACATGGACTCAAGTCCCTTCACCAGGAAGAGATGACACCTTTCTGTAGCCATTTTCAAGATGTCTCTCTCATGAGGACGTGACATTTCATAGCCACTCCAGTGGCGATCTCTGTGTTTTCTACAGGAGTGATGGTGGGGGGAAAAAAGAAAAAGAAAAAAACCGTGATCACTTACTTGGACTCAATGACTACATTACCCAGAACACCATGTGGGGAATACCAACAGCTTAGCCAATGAAGGGTCAGAAAAGGTGTTTCAAGGGGCGGGACTTCCTTCATCCTCAGAGCCTGCATTTTGACTCCATCCAAACATTCGCAGCTATTGTTGCGTAGCTTCCAGAACGCTGGGTCCCGGTGGAGATGGCCCGACAGAGGAGGCAGGAGAGTCGTGGCGCACACAGCACACGCGCGGGTGTGAAGCTCGATGTCCCCGCCCGGGTGACCCGAGAGAGGAGTGTTGTGTCTTCTGAGGACACATCAAGTGCAGGGCAGAGAGGACGGGGGTGACTCGCATCTGAAGGTCCCTGAGGATGTGGCTGTGAGTATTGACGGAAAGAGCAGAGGCTGCAGGGAGGACGGCGCAGCCTCATTCGGGGCTTTCCCGGCTGTGTGTCCATCAGGGGCCTGGGGAGGTCCTGCATCCGGCTGGACTATCGTATAGTCGTCACTCTTGGATACCATATGCCAAGTTCATGGTTGATCTACTGGGATGGAGTAGGAAGGGGGCAGAGCTGAGGGAGTGAACTTGGGGTTGGAAGAAGGAAGATATTACACAGTGGTGTGCACATCTAGAGAAAGAGGAAGTGTGAGCTGATGGTCCCTGGTACCTGGTGTGGAGACTTCAGGGTGAAGCATAGCCCCGGTTTGTCTTGGAGGCTTGGTCTGGGAGACTGGGGTAGGGCCCTGCAGGCAAGGCCCAGAGCTGAGATGTATGGGCTCCCAGGCCCCAAACCCTCTGCTATAGCTGAGGGCAGTAACAGTGACTAATAGGACTGTGATGTGAAAGCAGCCTGCGCTGGCCGTAGGGTCTGGTGTCCACACTAACCTGGGGTGCCCTTGAGGAGGTTGAGGGTGGGGAATATGTGTAAGGAGTAGGATTGTGGGTTCCCAGAAAGACAGCTTTGGTTTCAATCCTGGGAGTTAAAAATTGGCTGCAGTGTAAGTGGTTGCTACACAGACACACTCCCAGGACCAAATTGAAATTACGACGACGACGTACAAAAAAAAAAAAAAAATCCTGAATAATCATTTGTCTCCATTCTGACAGGGACTCCCAGGACCAAATTGGAATTACAACGACGTATAAAAAAAAAAAAACAAATCCTGAATAATCAATTGTCTCCATTCTGACAGGGTGGGGTGACCTTTGAGGACATCGCCCTGTACTTCTCCAGGGAGGAATGGAGCCTCCTTGATGAGGGTCAGAGACAGCTGTACCTGAATGTGATGCTGGAGAACTTTGAACTTCTATCCTCCCTGGGTAAGACCCTCGCTCTCACCAGTGATCTGGACTTGACTTTACATATCCTCATGCCCCTTTTCCCAGGATGTGCTCTGTCCTCATTGCTTGTCTTTCCAGTTTTTTGGGCCCTTTCTGTTCTTGGTAGGTCTGGTTTCTTTGCTTTGGCCTTGAATGTTTCTGCAATCACCACACCTCCTGTACTGAACTTCTTGGCAGGGGTTTGTGGTTAGTATTGTGGCAGGTTGCCCAATGGATTCCACCTTGATTAGTGAGGAAAAGCATTCTCTATATTCCTGTTGGTCATCTGTGCATATTATTGGGAAAAATTCCTCTGCATCTTTAGCCTATTTTTTTAAAATATATTTTTATTGATTTCAGAGAGGAAGGGAGAGAAACATCCATGATGAGAGAGAATCATTAATCGATTGCTTCCTGCACGCCCCCTGCTGGGGATCGAACCCACAACCCTGGCATGTGCCCTATTCAGGAATCGAATCCTGACCTCCTGGTTCATAGGTTGACTCTCAACCACTCTGCCATGCCGGCCGGGCTATCCTATTTTTTATTTACTTTCAGTTTTTTTATTTTATTTCAAGAAAAATTATTTTAAATATAATAATGTTACATGCAATAAACATCAATTATTCAAGAAAAATGACCATATGTATAATAATTATAATTCAAGAATAATTATAATAATATTACCAAAATTATATCACAAAAGTTGTAGGAAATACTAAAAATCTTCAAATAACTGGATTACTTCTATTATATTATAGAATATTTTTTACCCTCTAATTCTACTTTTGTTCATTAGTTTATGTTGTTCATTATATTCCAAAAATGAGTGAGATCATATGATATTTGTCTTTCTCCAACTAGCTTATTTCTCTTAGCATGATGCTTTTAAAGTCTATTTCGTCAGATATGAGTATTGGTACTCCAGCTTTTTTTGTTGTTTTCCTTTGGCATGGAAAATTATTTTCCATCTCTTCACTTTTCATCCTGTGTGTGTCTTTTGTTTTGAGGTGGGTCTCTTGTAGACAGCATAGAGTTGGGTCATGTTTTTGTATCCATTCAGCTACCCTACACCTTTTTATTGGAGCATTAAACCATTTACATTTAGAGTTATTATTGAGAGATACTTATCTATAGCCATTTTAATTCTGTATGGCTAGGTTTCTTTCTCTGTTTCTTCTTCTCAGCAATCCCTTTGGCTTATCTTGTAACGCTGGCTTGGTGGTGATGAACTCCTTGAGCCTTTTTTGTCTGGGAAGCTCTTTATTTGACCGTCTATTTTGAATGATAGCCTTGGTGGATATAGTAATCTTGGTCTCAGATCCTTGCTTTCCATTACCTGAGCACTTCATGTCATTCCCTTCTGGCCTGTAGAGTTTCTGATGGGAAATCAGGTGTCAGCCTTATGGGAACTCCTTTGTAGGTAACAGTTTTCTTTTCTCTTGCTACCTTTAAAATTCTCTCTTTGTATTTAATTTTTCTAGCCTATTTTTAACCATATTTTTTGGTTAATGGGTGTGTTGAATACCTTCTATATTTTACATATTAAATTTTTATTACATACAGGTACTCTACTTTTTGCATGTACTTAATTGTGCTTTGCAGATATTTTGAGGGTTTTTTGTTTTGGTTTTAATATATTTTTTTGACTTCAGAGAAGAAGGGAGAGGAAAAGAGAGAAATATCAATAATGAGAGAAAATCATTGATTGGCTGCCTCCTGCACACACCCTACTGGGGATGGAGCCAGTAACCCAGCCCTGCCTGGGAATCGAACCTGGGACATCTTGGTCCATGGACCCGGGATCTCTTGGTCCAAGGGATGACACTCAATTCACTGAGCCACCACAGCTGGGCTTGGTAGGATTTTTGTTTTTACAAATTCAATGTTTTTTGCAATCCTGCATTCAGGAAGTTTAGTGTGGCTATCTTTCCAGCAGGCTCAGATGCTGTTGACCAGCGTGAATATAAGAAATATTCAAACCTGGAAATAATTTTTGTGAGTTTATTTGGTCCAAACTTTCAACAGTTGCTTGGAAGCAAAATCTCAAGGCATTGATATAATGCTCCAGAGAATGGCAGTTTTGTATCTTTTTTGATACATTACAATCAAAAGAGCAGACATAGCTGGGTTACATGAAATTCATAGGTGATTGATTAAGTAGGCAGAAGAGAGCAAAGTGGGGCTACTTCTGGTATTGGATAAAAAGTAAAATGGTAAATCTTTTACATAGTTGGGTACAGGATATTCAATAATAATCAATATTAATATGATGAAAATAGCAATGAGAGCATTTGTAGTCTTTGCTATGGTGCATTTGGTTGTACCCTGAGGAATCCCAAAAAGGGCAGTTACTCTGACATTCCAAAGGGATGTTATCATAAATGCAAAGGGTGATAGTCAGGCTCAGTTAAGGTAAAGATTCATTTTGTTGTTGAATATTCCAGCTGAGGACATGTCTATCTGTCATTAACCAATTTTTTTAAATATATATTTTATTGATTTTTTACAGAGAGGAAGGGAGAGAGATCGAGAGAAACATTGATGTGAGAGAAACATCGATCAGCTGCCTCCTGCACACCTCCTGACCAAGGATTGAACCTGCAACCTGAGTAAGTGCCCTGACCAGGAGCCCAACCACAACTCAGAGAAACATCGATCAGCTGCCTCCTGCACATCTCCTACTGGGGATGTGCCTGCAACCCAGGCACATGCCCTTGACCGGAATCGAACCTGGGACCTTTCAGTCCGCAGGCCGACTCTCTATCCACTGAACCAAACCGGTTTTGGCTTTCATTAACTGCTTTTAGTTAGAAAGTTTTAATTTCAGACCATCCTTTGTGGTCACTTTAGGTCTCTGAATTTCCCTGAGCTTGTTACTCTGTAGTGATAAAGTAGTTTTCACACAGAGTAGTTGTGTTTTTATTAGCCTGCCGTATAGTGTTACCTTGTCTTTATTATTTAATTGGAACTCCAAATACTTGTGAGAATTTCTTTCTGTATCTCAATATTCACTTTTTTGTGGAGATCTGACTGAATCCAGTACATCTCCAAGCAATGTGTTCATATGACTTGCAAGTATTTTCTACCATCCTGTAGATTGCCTTTTTAAAAAATATACTTTTATTAATTTTTACAGAGAGGAAGGGTTAAGGATAGAGAGTTAGAAACATCAATGAGAGAGAAACATCCATCAGCTGCCTCCTGCACACCCTCTACTGGGGATGTGCCTGCAACCAAGGTACATGCCCTTGACCAGAATTGAATCCAGGACCCTTCAGTCCACATGCCAATGCTATATCCACTGAACCAAACCAGTCAGGGCTAGATTGCCTTTTTTTTTTTTTAATATATTTTATTGATTATTGATTTTTTACAGAGAGGAAGGGAGAGGGATAGAGAGTTAGAAACATCCATGAGAGAGAAACATCTATCAGCTGCCTTCTGCATGCCCCCTACTGGGGATGTGCCCTCAACCAAGGTACATCCCCTTGACCAGAATCGAACCTGGGACCCTTCAGTCCGCAGGCCAATGCTCTATCCACTGAGCCAAACTGGTTAGGGCTAGATTGCCTTTTAATATCATTTTGTTAATTGCTGTTTTAATGTGAAGACTCTTGTTCATTTGTTGTTGTTTAGACTGTTTAGTTTTCCCTCTTTGCCTGGTGGTAGTTGTCACATTCAGAAAATCATGTCCAAAGCTTTTTCTGTAGGTTGTTTTGAAGTCATTTTAAGTTTTGGGATTGTCATTTAATTATTTTATGCAGTTTGAGTTTAGTTTTTTTCAGTGGTGTCCAGTTTTGTTGTTTTGCCTGTGATTATGCACTTCTACCAACACCATTCAGTGAAAAAACTATTCTTTCTTGTCTGTCTTGTGGTTTTTGTCAAAGGATACATGAATGTATGTGCCTGGGTGTATTTCGGTCTTCTCTGTTCTGTTCTGTTGGTCTGTGTTTCTATGTTTATTCCAGTAACACACAGTGTGGTTGCTTTGGCTTTGTAATAGATTGAAGTCAGGAAGTTCGATGCCACCTGGTTTGTTCTTGCTCACGTTTGCTTTTGCTCTTCCAGGTCTTTTGGTTCCATACATTTCAAGATTCTGTTTTTATTTCTTTGTAAAATACCATTGACATTATCATCGGGATTACATTTAATCTGTAGATTGCTTTGGGTACTATAGACGTTATAAGGGTATTAAATTTCAAATCCTAAAGCACAGATGTCTTACCATTTGTTTGTGTTTTCTTCCATTTTTTCATCACTGTCTTGAG